AAAAAAAAAAAAAAAAGATTAAACTTTTAAAAGAAAAATACTCATCTTCAGGATTGTTGCAAGTCTCTGATTAATTTCCAGAGTTCTGAAAAAGTTGATTTTGGCACTTTTTGCCAGGTTGCTTGTTGATTTTCGGAGAAAAGGACTTTCAGGGATCCTTATTCTACCACTCTGGCTGCTATTTCATAATGTTTCCACTACACAAAAAACCATACCAATAGGGGGGTCCTGTACACCTCCCACCAGGGTTGGGGGTATTGTTAACAGAAGCTCCGGCAAGGACTTGAAAATAGTTCAAATTCCCAAAATTTTAGTTGTTACCATGACAACAATATACTTGGGGATTTAGACCTAAGAAACTATTGTAGGGCCAGGGATTTAGCTCAGTGGTTCCGCCACCTGCCTCACAAGTGCAAGGTCCAGAGTTTGATCCCCAGTACTGCAAAAACAAACAAACAAAAAAATAGAAACTATTGTAGCTGTGCATGATGGCACTTGCCTATAGTCCCAGCACTTGGGCAGCTGAGGCAGGAGGATTGTCATGAGTTAAGAGGCCAGCCTAGGCTACATAGTGAGTTCAAGCCCAGTCTAAACTACATAGCAATACCAAGTGCAAGGTCCAGAGTTTGATCCCCAGTACTGCAAAAACAAACAAACAAAAAAATAGAAACTATTGTAGCTGTGCATGATGGCACTTGCCTATAGTCCCAGCACTTGGGCAGCTGAGGCAGGAGGATTGTCATGAGTTAAGAGGCCAGCCTAGGCTACATAGTGAGTTCAAGCCCAGTCTAAACTACATAGCAATACCCCGAATTTTATAACAGATCCTCTGAATTATGCTATGTTAATAGCATTATTATTTGCAAACTATCAAAGCATCTAATTAAGGAGAGACCTTCCCTAGCCTTCACTTTAGAGCGGAGGAAACTGAGACCTCTCCTTCTGAGACATTCGGCAAGTTTGCAGCAGAGCTAAGAGTTTATGGAGGTGTCTGATATTTCCTAAACGTATTCTAATTTACTCAGTATATAATAAAGCTTAAAGGTTCGAGGGTTCCTCAAGTACCAGACCCCAAGAGCTGCAAGTGGGTGAGTACCTGACCAGAGTTGTGGGTCTCAAACGTTTTTTGATTTCTCCACCCCCATTTCTGTTAACGTTCTCCTACACTCCCACAGGTCTCCTTTCCCTCTTCCCTCCATTCACAGACGGCTAAATAATCTAATTTCCAGAATCCAAGAATGCTAACTGGGGGTGCTTTAGACTGGGTGGAGCTCACTTCAAAAAAGTAACCGAAGCCTTCACTTGGCACCCTCACCTCTCACCACCTGGGTGCCAGTAACAACCCCTGTGCCGGAATGGACCACTGAAACGCACCCTTGCTTTTTCTCGCCTGTCCGGAGCGCCGTCCAAACCGCACCAGCATCTCAGCTACTTGCCCACAATGCGCCAAGACCTGGATAGACTAGTGTAGAGCGAAAACAAGCCTGCAGTGTTTCCCAGGCCCTTGGTTGCTTAGCAACGTCTGCCGGAAATGACGCAGGCTGTCGCCGAGGAACCAGGAACGCGTTCCAGACCGCAGTGGACCTGGAGATGAGAGACTGCGCCTGCGCCGGAAGCGGGGTCGGGCGGAAGGTGGCGTGGTACTTGTGGGCAGGGTCCGTGACGTGTCCCGGGTACTGTATCCGTGCGAGGTGAGCGGAGTGGGCACCAATCGCGCTGTAGACTGCTAACAATAGGCCTGCGTTTTGTGAGGAGCGGTCGGGCCAGACCTTGCCTGCTGCTCCCATCCCCGCCTGGAGTGCGCCTCCTGGTGGGCGGTCGACCCCCAACTAGGCCCCGACGCCTACCTTCGGGGTGTGGACCCGTCAGGTGTGTGAGTGCGAGGCCTAGACTTGGTGTGTGCGGCCCATAAACCTTTACTTCCGTGTGGAGTGTGAAGGGCAGAGCCTTCTCTAACTATAGAAACCCAGGGATTAATGGACATGAGTTTTTTAAATTTTTAGTTTCTGAGGCGTGATCAGGGCTCGATGATTTTTTTTTTTTTTTTTTGTAACTAAGAATGTTAAAACTTGGATGTTGTCTCCAAAACATTAATGTCAGCACCTTTAAGATATTTTAAACAATAAATAAATGTCAGCACCTTTAAGATATTTTAAACAATAAATAAATTAAGTAGTGAATTGAATGTGTTTTGGGACCCGTCAAATCTTTAATGACACAAAAATCTGTTGAGTATTCTAACACATAATTGTGCTATTTTTCTTCAGGGTTTCTATGGGATGTTCCTCAGTAATAATGCTGGTAAGTATGGAAGCGTCAATAAAATATCTATAGCTAGAACTGTGCACCTTAAACACATGGTGTTTTTTGAAGCATAACTGAAAATGTTGAGAACTAGAGAAAAGGTTTACCATATTTTGCAGTCTAGGGTTAAATAGCCTGCCACATTTCTGTGCAAGACGCAAGACTGCTAGTTTAGAGATGAATTACAGCAGCAGCTATTTTTGCTCCCACGGCATGATACAAAGCCAGCCAGGAACCATTTAGATGTGGAGTGTGTTGCCCTACAGGACAGGAACTCTTGAGCTTGGGGGGACTCAAACTAGAGTGGACAACAAACTTGCCTTTTAAGGCTGTTCGCTGTAGAGACCTCCTTGAGAAGGTGCAGGCATCAATGGGCAGTGATAACATTGCTTGTAAGATCTGTGGAGACTATGGAGAATTATCTCCCAACAAGAATTCCCTGCAGGGCCAGGGATTTAGCTCAGTGGTCCCTCAGCCTGCCTTGAAAGCACAGGGTCCTGAGTTCAATCCCTGGTACCAAGAAAAAAAAAAAAATCCCCTTCAGTTTTATTCAGTTGCAAAAGTATAGAATCTTCTAAGCTTTGATGTCTGTAATTTGCCAGTTTGATAAGGTCAAATATCGTTTGACTTTAAATTGCAGGTTGCAACTCTAACCTGGACACAACTTGATCCACAGTGGTTATGTGTTTCCCACTCCAAATTTTTGTTGTCGTTAATTTAAGATAGTAGTATTTGTAAGCTGACCTGAAATAGTTTGTTATTCTTTTTTTTTTTTTTTTTTTTTTTGGTACCAGGGATTGAACTCAGGACCTTGTGCTTGCAAGGCAGGTGGCAGAGCCACTGCCAATAGTTTGTTACACTATTTTGTGACTTGTATAATTTGAACTGCCTTAGCTTTTAATGACTGAACAAATTTTCCATTATATAGTTACAAATATTATATTGACTCCAGGCACATACTTTTACTAGTCCCCAATTCTTGGATGTCCATGGAGTTTTTTCCATTATTGTGAAAGCACAGTGTTGTTATACAACAGTAACACTGAAGACACACAGATAGACAGTGCTTGTGTTTTTGGAGAGAATGGTTAGTGAATATTTTTATAGACAGGTGAAATGGCGTATTCCTGTAATCTCATCCTCCAGGAGGGTTTCACCTTGGAGACAGGCCTTGGCGATAGAGCAACTTCAGGATGGTCTTGACTATATTGTGAGAGCCTGTCTCAAAACAAAATTATAACCAAAAAAATCCAACTTTGGAATTTTAACAAGTTTCAAAGTACATTCACATTCTTAAAACTGAAATTCTTTTGCACTACCTCAAATTTTGGAGACATTTTTATTTCAAGTATATCACTAAATTTCAATATGTTTATGGACAATAAGACGTCATTCAGGCTAACCTGAGTCTAGAATGCCAGTTCTAATACTTCAAGCTCCAACTTATACATTTTTTAATGACAATTTTTACATAATAGAGTATGAAAATAAAATGAGTATGCACTAATGTTTTGGGTTTTTTTAATGGTAACAAAGTTTCATATTAAAGATAGGAAAAGAAACAGGTTCTGCAGAGTGAATTTGGGCCACATAAAAGTAGGAAAATAAGTACATTCTACAAGAGAGGGCAGCTGCTGGGAGAGGACACGGTAGCCTTGCTTTTGGTTTTTTGTGACAGGGCCTCACTGTGTAGTTCAGGATGGCCTTGAATTTGCAGCGATCTTCCTGCCTCGCCTCCCAGAGTGCTGGAATTATAGGTGTGCACTACCTTGTCCTGCAGTTTGTACTAATTTCAAAAAAAGAAAATGTGATTGAGATCATGAAGTTCTTAGTCCAGAGCTTGAAATATAGTTATCTCTCAAAAATACTTGTTATACTTTAAATGTTTTTTTTTCTTTATGTACTCCAACTCTAGCTTCTGCTGGATGTTCTGTATTATGCTTTTTTTTTACATGACTTTCATCGTAGCATTTGTTGACCAACTTAATTTTTCATTTCCTCTTGAGATCTGTATTTAGTGACCTTCATTATCTGTTTTTTGAGTTGCTGGGGATTGAGCCCATGGCCTCATGCTTGTGAGGCAAGCACTATGCCACTGAGTTACATTCCCAGGCCTCTTCATTATTTTAATGAAAACAAAAATTTCTTTGTCACATCATAAGCAGTGATTACTCAGAGTACATCCAGATTATTTTGTCACCTCAAAACTAAACTATCTAGAGAAGATATAAATAAATGTGACAATGTTAGCAAAAGTTATTCTAGTTTGGAATAGTTTAATTAATCCCTCCTTTTGGGTAATTTTTAAAAAATTCATGTATAGCATGAAATCATTTATAACATTGGCATTTAGAGATTGATTTTAAGGGCTGGGGATTTAGCTCAGTGGTTCTGCCACCTGCCTCGTAAGTGCAAGGTCCTGAGTTTGATCCTGGTAACCCCCCGTAAATTTTTTTTATTATATGTAAATAACTTTTAGAAAATTATTTTACGAGACACATTCTGTGTTCAGTTTTGTATTTGTTATACAGAGAATCCATATTGTATGTGATATTTTATATGAAGATTATTGTAAATGTATACTAATAAGGTTTTGTTAACTTCGAATAGTACCTGGTTAATATGCATTTTTCTCTCTTATAGTGTTTATGTATTTGACTATAAGATTGTTTCATTACTTGTCTTTCTGAATAGCTCTATAGTTTCATTCTGAGTGCTAAAGGAATCATTCCCACAAAAACACAATTGAGTGCCTTCTTTAAATATTTTGGTTTTTATTAACATAAAATACTCAAATGTGAACTTTGCTTTTAAGGAAAAAGTGTTTAAGTGATGATATTAAATGATCACTTGCTTATATTACTTATTTTAGCAGATTAATATTTACTTGTGTTTTAAAATGAGTATAATAATTGTATATTTAGGGAAGAATATTTTTTCTTTTTCAGGATAATCCAAATCTGGAATCATGAAAATTTTGTTGGTGTTTGACTTCGACAATACCATCATAGATGACAATAGTGATACCTGGATTGTACAGTGTGCTCCAGACAAAAAGCTTCCTGTTGAACTGAAAGAGTCTTATCAAAAAGGATTTTGGACAGAATTTATGGGCAGAGTCTTTAAGTATTTAGGAGATGAAGGCGTAAGAGAAGATGAAATGAGAAGAGCGATGACATCAGTGCCATTCTCTCCAGGGATGGTGGAACTTTTCAACTTCATCAGAAAGAATAAAGAGACATTTGACTGCATCATCATTTCAGATTCAAATTCAATCTTCATAGATTGGATTTTAGAAGCTGCCAATTTTCATGACATGTTTGATAAAGTGTTTACAAATCCTGCAGCTTTTAATAGCAATGGCCATCTTACTGTGGAAAACTATCATGCTCATTCTTGCAAGAGGTGCCCAAAGAATCTTTGTAAAAATGTCGTTTTGGTAGAATTTGTAGATAAACAGCTACAGCAGGGAGTGGATTATACTCGAATTGTTTATATAGGTGATGGTGGAAATGATGTCTGTCCAGTAACATTTTTAAAGAAGAATGATGTTGCCATGCCACGGAAAGGATATACTTTACAGAAAACACTTTCCAGAATGTCTCAAAATCTTGGGCCTATGGAATCTTCTATTGTAGCTTGGTCTTCAGGTGTTGAAATAATTTCTTATTTACAATTTCTAATAAAGGAGTAATATGCCAGTAGTTGAAATACATAACAGCTAAGATTAAGTTCAGCACTAAAACCAAAAATGAAAGAAAAATAGAAAAAGGAAAGAAAGGGTTTACCTCTCACTTCAAAGAATTTCAAAGGTATCACAAAGCTGCCATGCTGATCTGTCAACTTCAGCGCTGGGCTTCCAACTCATGATTGAGACTGCAGCCCACATAGCAACATTCTGGCCAGGAAGAAGGAGGGAAGTGAGGTTACAACCCCTTATCTAAGGAAACTTCCCAGAAGTTATGCCCAACACTTCAGTTTAAAAGCTGTTGGCCAAAACATACTCATAACACTCCATTAACTTCAAGGAAAGATAGAAAGCATAGCTTTCATTCTGTGTGATCACATGCCCAGGAAATTTTAAGGAAAAAAAAAAGGGCAGCTAATGGTCTGTACTAGAGGTAGTTGATAGGTAGATTATATTTTTAAATTCCTGGAGAGAGTGATCATATTTTAGTCTTCAATAATTATTTTTAAAAGTATATTCAGTAGCTCGAGATCTTAAAAATATGTATGATTCAACAAGGCATGGTAATTCCAGCACTCAGGAGGCTGAGCGGGGAGGATTGCCTTGAGTTTGAAGCTACCCTGAACTACATAGCAAGACCCTGTCTCAAAAAAAAAAAAAAAAGGCACTTAACTGTATATAATACCCTCCCAAACCAGTGTACTTATTGTTAAGGTTTCACCAATGTAAATTTTCCTTTTGAAATGAAAGCCAGGCATGGTGGCACACACCTATAATCCTAGTACTTGGGAGGCTGAGGTAGGAGGATACAGTGAGTTTGAGGCTAGCCTGAACATAGCAAGAGCCTGTCTCAAAAAAAAAGCCTTTTTGTAAAAAGCCTATTTGGTGAAAGCAGAAGGTCCTGAGTTCAATCCCTGGTACAAAAAAAAAAAAAAAAAAAAAAAAAA